ATTGTTCAACACCCGCCTATGAGTGAGAACATGCGGTGTTTGATCTTCTGCTCTTGTGTCAGTTTGCTGAGAATTATGGTTTCCAGGTTCATCCATGTCCCTACAAAGGACACAAACTCATCATTTCAGCAGCACATTTTAAAAGCTTATCCACCACAATCAAGTCGGCCGCATCCCTAGGATGCAGGACCTTGTCCTGGAGGGTCTACTACTGGACAAGAGCAAAAAAAAAAAAAAAAAAAAAAAAAAAAAAAAAAAAAAAAAAAAAAAAAAAAAAAAAAAAAAAAAAAAAAAAAGCAAGATTAAAAAGACTCTTATAAAATGAAGAAAATTTACTATTTTTTATGAGTCACGACTGCACATGTAAAATTTCCTGTCACACCAAAAAACTAGTAGAATTAACAAGACAGTTTCAATAAAGATCAACATAAAAATGTGTCTTTCTATATTTCAGAAACAGCAAAAATTAAAATTTAAATGATAATACACATAAAAGTATAAGAACTAAAATGTATAAGAATAAATGTACTAAAAGATGGAAAAGGCATAAAGGAGCACAGAATAAAAATTTCACCAAGCATTTCTGTAAACACTACTTCTGTTTGTATACCCAACAAAAAGGTTTGTATATGTTTCCCAAAGATGTTGTAGAAAACCTTCCACAGCAGCATTATTTTTATGAGTCCCGACTGCAAACAAGTTACCTATTTATCTAGGAGGCAATCAGCAAATAAGTTGTGTCATATTCAGTGGAAGATTATACAATAATGAGAAGGAATAAACTACAAATAATTATTTCGATGAATATCACAACATTAAAGCAAAGATAGAGAACTTAATTCTACACTTTCTTCATTGACATTAAAGTTTTTTTTTTTTTTAAATACCTGACCTACAGGATTAGAAGTCTTTGGAGTGATTGGCTGCCTTTGAGGATTAGTCAGAAGAAATAATTTGAAAGGAGTGTACTTAATTTCTATTTCCTAACCTGGTTAAATTGACATGTATGTATTCACTTTGTGATATTACATCAACTTGAGTAGTAATAATCTCCATTCTTTATAAAAGAATGATATCCCTAAAATAGGTATTTAGCATGTTAGCCCTCAAAGATAAATAAAATGATTCTCAATGCATCTAATTCCCTCACTGAAAACAAAAAGAGAAAAGAAATGCCACTAATTGTACTGGTAACCAGGTTCAGACTAGGACCAGCTTGATTTGCCCAAATCTAGAGCACCTATATCACAAAGAGTTCCACATTCTCATGCTGGTAACCTGTCAGTCCCAGGCAAATCAGGATAAATGGTCACACCACCGCAGAGACCATCTGATGCTTTCTGAATCTCAGTGGACTCCTTTGTCTACACACTTTCTTTGGTCTGGCTCTGCATCTTGGAATACATTGTGCCAAACACCCTTTTCCCAAGTGAGTTTGATAGAACTGGAAGACAGGTGGAGTAGGGTGGAGAGAGAGAGATGCCTGTTACTCTTGAATCAGACTTTTGTGGGTGAACAAGCTTGGGGCCAGGCATGGATTCAATTCATCGTTGTGAACATATCAGCATCATGCCCCTGCCCACAGACACCTCCCAGTCTGCATACGGTCAAACATGAGGCTGGGCAGAGAGAACTTCCTGAGCCTCCCCACCACAGGAACTCACTCACATGACCAGATGAAGGTCAGAGCAGGAATGGTGCTGATGATGAGACTGCCTTCCTTTTATCTGAAACAAAGTCTCTATGACTAATTCTCAATTAAGAAACAGATTAAACCCTTACTTTTAAAAAATTCACCAGATTTCAGAAGCAACTTCCCCTTTGACAATCCTAAACAGACTGTTGAAAGCAATGTAAACAGCAACAAGGAAAAGTCCTGCTGATTGGTGGAAGCTTCAGAGGCCAGGTGGATAAAAGGTCCAGATGGGAAGGGGTCACCAGATTCTGGGAAACTCACCTCTGAACAGAAGCCCACCCTCCACCCCTGACACCATGACCTACTGCTGCTCCCCTTGCTGCCAGCCTACGTGCTGCAGGACCACCTGCTGCAGGACCACCTGCTG